GGCAGGCGCCTGTAGTCCCAGCTACTTGGGAGGCTGAGGCAAGAGAATCACCTAAGCCCAGGAGTTGGAGGTTGCTGTGAGCTGTGATGCCACGGTACTCTACTGAGGATGACCAAAGTGAGACTCTGTCTCTATAAAAAAATAAAAAAGAAGTCTCAGGTGATAGTGGTAAGTCAAAATCACAGACATTAGGCCTCACTGCCCTATACTTATTAATTAACTCTGTGCTTTTTTTTTTTTTAACATGTGTTATGTCTCCCAGCCAAAGACCAGCCCTCTCAGGGGGATGAAGAAAAAGACCCTCCCAAGAGCTATCCTTACTCTGTGGAGACCCCGTACGGTTTTCATTTAGACCTGGACTTCCTCAAGTATGTGGATGACATTGAGAAGGGAAACACCATCAAAAGGATCCCCATCCACAGAAGGGCCAAGCCGGCCAAGTTCAGCACTTTGCCAAGGAACTTCAGCCTTCCTAATGGCGGGGCTCGTCCCCAGGCCGCTCTGCCCCACCAAAACTGGTCTCCAGGGGTGCCGAGGAAAGTCTCGCTTGGGACACAGGAGCAAACCCCATCACTGCCACCTGGTAGTCCCCCCCAGGCCACAGCTAGCAGGGGTGAGCTGAGCTACCATCGCAGGGCCCTACTGGCAGAGGCCACCAGGCAGCTGGAGCCTGCGGCCCCGGAGGAGGGCAGTGGACGGCCCCAGCTTTTGAGAGCATCCAGCATGCCGGCTACGCTGCAGCAGCACAGGCCTGCACTCCAGGGTGAGGGCCCCATCTGTGATGGCGCCTTCGGCCCCGCAGAAGGGTTTACAGGTGTTGGCAGCTCTACTCTGCAAGCGTCACCACCACCCCAGGTCAGAGAACTGGGAGACCTGGTGCTGGGGACTCTGGAGCTGGTCCGGGAAGGAGCTGAGCCCACAGAAGGGAACTTGAAGACACCAGACCACCTCTCCCTCCCAGAGCCTCCTCCCTCCTTCCAGAATGCACTTGGAGTTCTGGCGGATGCAGAAGATGAGCCTGAAACCAGAGGATCAGAGGTGTTCACTCCTGGGCCCCCGACACCAAGCCCCCCACCCCTGCCATCACCCGTCCCCGAGAGCGAGCTGCCCCTGCAGGAGATTGAGCTGAGCATCAGTGAGCTCCCTCCCCCGCCGCCCGTGGCTGTGGACGTGAGAAGTGTGGGGGTCACAGTCAGTGAGAATGGCCTGGGCCTGGCGGGCTGTGTGGGCAGTGTCCCCAGCCTGCAGCAGCAGGTGTCAGCCCTCGAGGGTGAGCTGTCGGGAAAAACCGAGGAGCTGGTGCGGGTCAGGGCCGCCCTCCAGCAGCGGGAGGAGGAAGCCAGGGCCAAGGAGCAGAAGATTCAGGAGCTGGAGCACGCCGTGGCCCAGCTGGAAGGAAAGCTTCGCCAAGAGGCTGCCAGAGACAACCAGGGCAGGACTGACGCCACGGTGAACACAGACCCTGTTGGTGGACTCTGGACCAGGGAGCTGTGTGACAAAGGCATTGAGGTCAGCCTTCTGCACGTCACAGAATCCGAGAGCCCAGGGGCCCAAGCAGGGCAGAACGGCCTCCCCTGGGGACAAAACAGGCCTAGACAAGGGGATCAGAGCCCAGGAGAGCACGCACTGCTTTCCGCGCTGCCAGTGCTGCAGGGCCCCGGGTGGGTCCCTTCCTCTCCACACAGCTGCCTCTCCACAGAACTCAGGATCGAGGAACCGGGCCCCGAGCAGGAGGGAGGCCCTCAGGGAGGACCCGAGGGCCTGGCCTGGGGAGCAGGGGCCTCTTCTTGGAGCAGCGACAGAAAGTCTCCCCCAGCAGGGAGGGAGGAGGCCAGCTCAGATCTCCCAGGGAAGGAGTCCCTGGGAAGGCCGCCGAGCTCGCCAACAGATGCCACCCTCGGGCAGTATGTGAAGAAGATCCAGGAGCTTCTGCAGGAGCAGTGGAACTGCCTGGAGCACGGCTACCCCGAGCTGGCCAGCGCCATCAGGCAGCCAGCCTCCAAGCTGAGCAGCATCCAGAACCAGCTGCTAAGCTCCCTCAACCTGCTGCTGTCGGCCTGCTCCGCCCAGGCGGCCCCGCAGAGGGAGCCCCCAGCCCCCACCTCCTCCTCCCCACCTATGGGTAAATGCTGGGCCTGAGACTGGACCATTTCTCCTCTAGCCAATGAGTCAGAGGGCAGAATGTTTTCAGTTGCATGAGTGATTTTTAAAAGAGTTTAGCACCTCGAGGAAGCCAGGGGAATAAAAGCTGATGTGTGGAGACTCAGCACCTCTGAGGGTGGGTCTGTCTGCCTGGGCTCCCAACCTCGGCCTCCCTCCACTGTCCCTGGGCTCTTGCATTCCATGTTCCCCTCTGGTTCTCGCACAGTAGAGGTTTTCTGTAGCCTGGTTTTGGAGGAACATTATATTGAGATCTGGAATAGTTCACTGAATATTTTCTCTGTGTGCACACGTGTGCATGTGTGAGCAAAAAGTGAGGGGTGGGGGTTGAGTGGTGCTCACATGTGGAAATCAGCCCTTTGGCTTTATTTCCTCTTGTAACAGATGAAACTCCCTTTGCTGTTGGGTAACGTGGAACCGTATTTTGCTTTGCTCAGTGGGCGACATCGAGTCCTCCCCTTCTGCCAGGGATCACTCGCTGCTGCCCTCTCATTCTCTTGGTGGTGCTGGTCTAGTGTTTCCTCCTGGGAATTGCCTCCCATACCATTGGGCACAGCACAAGGAGGTTTGAGCCTTTCCTTGTGTGTCTGCCCTGAGCACAGGGCCACACGACCCCCACATCACAGGTGTGAACGTGCGCTTGTGAGCCAGGAAGGTGCCTCAGCAGGGGTGGGTGCTGGACAGTGGGTCCAGAGACCTGAGTTCTGCCATCGGCTGAGCAAGTCTGAACCTCAGATTTCCCAGTTGTCACACAGGGACAACAGCGGCTCCCAGGGATGGTTCTCCCAGGAGAGTGCTGCTCCGTTATCCACACTACAAGGCCATTATGAACAGGGACGGTTCTCACAACATGGGCCGGAAAGCCAGGTCTTCCCGGAGGGCTGTGCAGACATTCAATGTACGTGACCTAATTCCCTGTCCCTTCCCACGTCTTCACACACCTGTAATCTGCGTCCCCTTAAAGTGAGATCCTGGTTTTGCTACATTCCCATGTGTCCCCAAGGTCATTCTAACCTGTGATGTTGTGTCTGCCTAGAGATCTCCCCGCCGACCAGCCTTAAATCCATAATGAAAAAGAAAGACTATGGCTTCCGAGCAGGAGGTAATGGGACCAAAAAGAACCTTCAGTTTGTTGGGGTTAACGGTGGGTAAGCATCGCTCGTGAAGCTCAGACTGCCCTCCCCTCTCCTCCCCTGCTGCTGTCCCTAGCACTCTCCTTTCCTAGGGGGAGGCATCTGGTTTTCATCCTTTTTCAAGGGAATTAATCTCAATGACGCTTTAAAATTCCATCTTGGTTCTGCACATGTCTGGCCTCTTGCCAGCTGTGGCCGTCTATGGGAACTGCTGCTTTTTAATGTGTCTTGGCCTTGGTCTCCCCCAGGGCCAGGACTCCAGGTGGCGTCTGGGAGTTTGGGGGTACACACAGGGGAAAGGTGTTTAACCTGAACCACAGCACCAAAACTAGTAATTTGTTGGGTTTCAAATTTCATCCATTTAATTTTTTCTTCCTTTAATTTCCTGCAGACTAAACCCAACTGTTTGGGGATGAGCCTTATATATTCTAGAGAAGTGAATGTTGGATTTAGAATATTTTCTAAATCGGTCCTTCAACAAATATTTATTCAATGCCGGCAATGGGCTGGCTGTTGGGGGTAAAGTCAGATAAATCATGGTCCCTGCCTTCAGCTTACAGATAAGACAAAGAGGAAGGCTGATGACCCAAGACAAGTAACATTAGACAAGGGCCCGTGGTATATCGTGGAGGGGATCCTGAGGCTGCCCAGAGAATCAGAATCCCTGCTAGTTCACACCACACTCACACCAGAAGGGGAGGCAGGAGATTCAAACCAGGGGTGAGGTCGTTGTTGCAGGTTTTCTGAGGGAAGTGTCAGGAATGATGAAATGAGCTATCCTAGAATTGTTCTTACGTCTGACCCCAGAGTTTTGCACATTCACTAGTTCATGTACAGAGGAGAATCAGCTTCATCATCTCAAAACTTGACATACGGGCTCGGTGCCTGTGGCTCAAGCGGCTAAGGTGCCAGCCACATACACCTGAGCTTGCAGGTTCAAATCCAGCTCGGGCCGGCCAAACAATAATGATGGCTGCAACCAAAAAAATAGCCGAGTGCTATGGTGGGCGCCTGTAGTCCCAGCTACTTGGGAGGCAGAGGCAGGAGACTTGCTTGAGCCCAGGAGTTGGAGGTTGCTGTGAGCTGTGATGACATAGCACTCTACCCAGGGGGATAGCTTGAGGCTCTGTCT